ATTTCAGACTACCGTGTCACATTTCTGTGACAGGCAGGGCTGTCAGAAACTTTTTTATACAGAAACAAAATTACAGAATGCACAGAGATACTTTTCAAAATGTCAGGAAACAGAGTTGGGGAGATTCAGTTTAAAATAATGAAAATATATCACACCTCAGGAAGCATTTACTATAGGCATCAGAGCCTAAGGGTGAAGGGCAAGTTTAAAAACTGCAGGGGAGGAGGAGGAGGTTTGCTCTGAATCTAGAGAGGTAAATGACAAGGTACATGTCAGGAGAGAATATTGGTGGATGGAAGCATGAATGCCTAGTTTCAGGGGGACATAAATTCCTTGCTCCTCAGTTTTCAGGGCCTAGTAATGGCTATGTTAGCCTTCTTCCTTAGAGCATGGGGTAGGCAGCATGTGGCAGGCCTGAGGGACTCACTCATAACCATTTCTTACCTCCTTCCCAATTATTCACCTTATATATGTAGGCTAGTTTGGAATTAACTTCAGATTTTAAACATTTTGGTTTCCCTTCTCATCTCAAATATGTAGCTATAAACTTAATGGTTTCTAGATAGGCTGACTAGACCCCAGTGAATGAACTTGCACTGAGGGATGGCTGAGTACACTAACTTGACTTGAGAGGTATTAACATGTATGACAGAATGCATATAATCTGGTGGGGTGGGCTATGCTGGGGGGGGGTTCTGGATGGGGGAAGGGATATAAAAATGATTAAGATGTGTTGTATAAAATGCACAAATATTCAATAAAAGTGTACATTAAAAAAACTTAATGGTTTCTAGAAACTTAACAGCACTTATTGGGTACCTGTTCTGAGAGAGGGTGGGGGGAAGAGAAAGTTCAAAATAACCAAATAAATAAATAAGTAAATACTGACAAAATCCACCTACAACTGAACAAGGGCCTGGTCTCCCACCGTGCTTGCAGGGTGGGGTGGGGAACAGGTCTTATGGCGCAGTGGGGTGGTGGCTGTGCTGTTTTTTGTGCTTGAGCTTCTGACCGAGCATTTGTCTCAGTGTCAGCTCATAACAAAGGCTTGTTAATTTTGTAAGTAGAAAGTGGATGGTCTTATGGGTGAATACAGGATCATAAAGACAGTAGAAAAAGTATGTCTGCATAAATCATAATAGTGGCCTAGGAGAAAAATAAAAACCATGACCAAAGCAACTTACACAAGGGTTTATTGGGCTTATAGCTCCAGAGGGATAAGAGTTCATCATGGTAGAGGAGGCATGGCAGTAGACAGCTGGAGCAGAAAGCTGGACTGAGAGCAGGCACAGGGTGCAGAGAGACAGACACTGGAGGTGGGATGTGGCTGTGAGTGCTCAAAGTTCACCCTCAGTGACTTGCTTCCTCCAGCCAAGTTGCACCTCCAAAACCTCTGCCAACAGTGCCACCAATTGGGGTCACGTATCTGAATACTTGAACCTATGAGGGTGTTCTCATTGAAAGCACTACAGAAGATAGATGAACTAGATCAAAGAGATGAGCAGTGGCTTCCTAGGATCTTCCACAGTGGTACCCCAGCATAAGAATAAGAAACGGGGTGAAGACAAAAATGCCTGAACATCAGGCAGCCGAAAAGAATTTTGGCAACTGGAGAGTGAACTGTGTAGTCCAACCCTCTGTACTGAAGGGCCCATTACTAAGGGACAATCAAGTCAAGTCAAGGCAGGTCCTACTGGGTACTAAGGGGGTGTAGAAGCACAAGGAGCGTACTTTATGTCATACTTTTAATTGTAGTTGTTGCTGTTGCTCTTCTTCTTCTCCTCCTCCTCCTCCTCCTCCTCCTCCTTCTTCTTCTCCTTCTTCTTCTTCTTCTTCTTCTTCTTCTTCTTCATCTTCTTCTTTTTTCCTTTGGAGATGAGGTCTGTCTCACACATTACCACAAGGTAGGAACACTTCACACAGGTGTATTATTGTTGGTTGGCAGGATTCTATCTTCAAGACAAGGACAGTTGCTTCTGGGAGAACTGACTTGGAGGCTTCTTCTTCTCCTTTCTTCTCTTTTTAGAAGAAAACACTTTTTTATATCCTTTTTTTTTTTTAATTTTATGTGTATAAGTATATTGCTTGCATGTAGGTAGGTACACCCGTGTCATGCAATGCCGGTAGAGGTCAGAAGAGGGCTTCAGATCTCCTGGAACTGGAATTACAGGTGGTTGTTAGCTGCCATATGAGTGCTGAGAATGGAGGACTCGGGTCCTCTGCAAGAACAGTCAGTGCTCTTAACCCCTGAGCCATCTCTCCAGCCCCAGAGTTGATCTTTACCTTAAATTGTGCTGGTATTTAGAAGCTAATTAGGTGTTTCTTATTGTGGAAGGAATAGAGCTTGGTAAACTGACTGCTAGCCCAGTGTAAGCAGCCTGTGATATACTGACACAGTAACGTGATTTTGTTTTTTAAAAATGAAGTAAGGAGCCAGGCGTGGTGATGCACGCCTTTAATCCCAGCACTCAGGAGGCAGAGTCAGGTGGATCTATGTGAGTTCAAGGCTAGCCTGGTCTACATAGTGAGTTCCAGGACAGCTGGGGCTACAGGGAGACCCTATCTCAAAAAGACATATATGTGTGTGTGTGTGTGTGTGTGTGTGTGTGTGTGTATGTGTGTGTGTGTGTGTGTGTGTGTGTGTGTGTGTGTAAGGTGAAATCAACACTATCGAACTCAGTTTAGAGTCAGAGGATTGTGTAATAGATCTAGAACTTACACAGGCATGTATTGTTTGGTTATTGTGTTTTAAACTAGAAAATAGTTTTATTAGAGTTTGAAAGAAAACAGAGCAGATCAGGTATAAATCTCAGCAGCTGCTGAGAGAAGGGAGACGGAAAAGAAGAGTTAGGTAAGAAGGTCAAATCTGAAAAAAGGTATAAAAGGGAAAGTTAGGCTTTGAGTTAGAACTCAGAGAAATGAGCACCTTGGCAGTGAAGATCTGCAAGTGACTGTCAATCAGCCATTTAATAAGTAACATTTCTGCCTGGTTCCCTAGCACAGTGACTTCACCTAGGATTTAAAGCGGTCCATGCACCCCTTGGTTTGCAGGCTAAGGCAAATACTTCAGCTGTGCGTTCTGTGACACACATATGGTGAGAGCACATAGCTCAACTGTCTTGTGCTACCAAATGCACGTTTGTCCATGGAGGTGGTTCACTGTTACAGGCCTACATCACCAGAAATGTCTTCAGGATGTGTCTTGTCATCTCTTTAGCCCAAAGAGAAAGCAACTCTGTAATGGTGGTGGTGTTTAGTTTCTTTAGGCCGTATGTGTTCATTTACCCTTGTGGAGCAAGTTCTAGCTCTAAATAAGGAGCCCTACATTAATGAAAGTTGGCTTCTTTTTCTAAAAAAAATTTATTTATTATTATTTTTATTTTATGTGTATGTGTGTATTGCCTGCATGTAGGTAAGTGCACCTGTGTCGTGCAGTGCCCACGAAGGTCACAAGAGGCTGTTGGATCCACTGGAACTGGAGTTACAGACAGTTGTTAGCTGCCATGTAGGTGCTGGGATTCGAACCAGGTCTTCTGCAAGAACAGCCAGGGTTCCTTACTGCTGAGCCATCTCTCCAGCCCCCGAAAGTTGGCTTTTTAAACTTAACTGTTGGCTGTTTAAGCCACATTAGAGTCATGTGGAACTGAAGCTGATAGAATTGTGGTCTTTTCCAGCTTCAGCTCAACTGCTGCTGTTGTCATTGCTTTTTTTCTTCTACTTTCAGTCTGTTAATTTTTTATAGAATAACACCAACTTAATATTTTTCTAGAATAAATAATATGTTTTGGGGTAAAGCAACTCCAAAATAATAAATTTCATGTATTACGGCTTAATATTCATTCCCCTTAAGTGCATGTAGTTAGGGGGAAGTTTGTTCTAGGCTGGCACTCATGCAGCAGTTTTTGAAAAAAGATGTTTGTGGGGAGAGGCTTGCAGGATCTTCAGTCATTGATTCTCTCTTTATATCTTTGCCCTTTTCCCTGGAACAGATGACTTGTACAGGGCTCCCAGACTGAATCACAAGGAAGAAACTTTACATAAACCATTTATACTACATGTTTGGTATGCTGGCGACATAAATCAACAACAATATCCATTACAGATTCATCCCTTTATCAGTATTATCTTGATAGAACTGATCCCGATGTGTGGGAATTTGAACTCTGCTTCAATACATCTAGCCCTGGATAATTAATTATTCAGGGCACAGAGAACCTGGCCCTGCAATGTAGAGTAATTCTTCCTGGTCAGCGTTAACTCCACTGGCAATAATAAATAGGAAAAGTCTCCGGTGATGCCAGTATTTTAAAGTGATTAATCATCTCTTCCCCCTTCTCCTCCCCCTTAGTTTTCTTTAACTAGGATTTTTTTCAGCAATAAATCTCTAACAATACAGGTAGGAATTGTTCTGTAATTAAATTTTGCCCTGCTTAATTTCTTACCTTTTGTGTGCTGTTAAAAATGTTACATTTTAAGGAGCCCTGATCAAAATTCAAACCAAGAAAAATTCTTTTATGGAATACTGAGATTCTTCATGGAAGAATAAACTCTTGATTTTGAATATTAGATAGGCACGTACTCAGAAGAAATGTTCATCAGCACCAGTTGGGGTGTCAGATATTCCGAGAGTTTGAATTGCTTTGCTTTCATGTTTATGGTTTTTCTGTATTAAAAGAAGTCTGACGTACACATATGTTCCCCCATGGAGAGAATAATTATTTAAGAAATAAGTTAAGGTTCAGATAACTGTCAGCTTTGTGGAAAGGGATATTTTTCATTGTTTTTATGGTACACAAAGTGTACTTGCTAAAGAAGCAGGTAAATGTTGGCCTGAGAATGACCATGTATTTCCAAATGGTGCCCCATATACCTGCCCAGCCCTCACATATATTCCAGGTGACGGGGCAGATGTGACGTATCTGTTGTGACACACTTCTGTACTACCAGTCCGTGGCTCGAGGTGACTCCTGTCCCTTCCCTGGTGCTTTTCCCTGCTGCAGGACAACACAATGACGCACGGATGAACCTTGCCATCGCCCTCACTGCTGCCAGGTACGGGGCTGCCACAGCCAATTACATGGAGGTAGTGAGCTTGCTCAAGAAGACAGACCCCCAAACAGGGAAGGAACGCGTGAGAGGTGCGCGGTGCAAGGATGTCCTCACAGGTACACTCGGCTCTGTGAGGGAGGCATTTCTTAGTATTTTGCTATGCTTGTATAATGACTGAATTAGGACTTTTCTGTCACTTTTCTTTCACTGAAGGCAGACTTCAGTCATATTAATTATATTCCTTATTGCCAACAATGACTGGTTTAACATGAAAATTTTCCCTTTTGGGACTTGCCAATTGTTTCCCTTTGTGTTAAATAATAATAATGATGATAAGCATAATAATAAATGCCTATGGAACTCTCACAGCTGTGAATGCATTTTGCTCACAGAAACATGTGATTAATAAAATTAAATAAATGTGCCAAGTCTCTGAGCATCACTTAGGTGCCACAGGCAGGGCATTTACATGCCATCCAAGTCAATCACTTTTAGCTCTGGTCTGATTTTCATTCTTGCTATGTAGGCAGTTGTGAAATCACATCATTTCTTGAACAAAAGCAGCACTTGCAGAAAATACTTATTTATAGTAATACAGCTCCTCATTTGGGTTTTTCTAGCTTAAATTTTTTATTACATTATTTGTTTCTTGGGGGGTGGGTGCTTGCATGCTGTAGCATGCGTGGAGGTCAGAGGACAAGTTTGGGGAGCCCGTTCTCTCCTTCTTCCTGTGAGTTCCAGGGACTGAAACCTTGTCATCAGGCTTTGTGGCAAGCGCCTCAACCCACCAGGCTTCCTTGCCAGCCCTTTTCTTTTCTTTTTATTTTCTGTATTTAGGTTTTAAGGAAAAAAGCAAGTAGTTTACTCATTGCTCTTTCTTTGTGTTTAGCACTTTTGATCATAGGCACTTTGTAAATAGACTGAGAACCACAATGGAAAAATGGCGTTCCCTCCTGCCCTGCCTCCCTCCCTCCCTCCTCCCGCCTTCCCTTCCTTCCTTTCTTTTGGATTGATTTTGGGTAAATTTTCTCGAGTGGCCTATTGTTTGGCTCTTCACTGACTGGTTGCTTTTCTTGCTTACTGTGGTGTGCACCATACTTTGCCATAGGTTAAGTCACTAGATGAATTAATAATAGTCCAGTACTGGTGAAGAGGGAAACAAATGGGGTGTGTGATTGATGTTGCTCTCTTTTACAGGGCAGGAGTTTGACGTGAGAGCCAAATGTGTCATCAATGCCACTGGACCTTTCACAGACTCTGTGCGCCAAATGGATGATAAAGACGCTGCTACCATCTGCCAGGCCAGCGCAGGTGTCCACATTGTGATGCCTGGGTATTACAGGTAATGGCACTCCGTTTTGAGGCTCACCACTTGCGAAGGAGGCACACAAGTGTTTATGCATTGAATATCTTCTACCTCACTCTTCTTTAAATATTTTTTAAACTTATATTTATTTATTTTATTTATTTGTGTGTCTGTATAAGTATATTGCCTGCATGTGTATTTATTATTTTTATTTTTTTGTGAATGAATGCCTTGCCTAGATGTATGTAAATATGCCTGTGTTGTGCAATGCCTGTGGAGGTCAGAAGAGGGTACAGGATTTCCCTGGAACTAGAGTTATAGACAGTTGTTAGCCACCATCAAACCCAGATCCTCTTCAAGAACAGCCAGTGCTTTTTAACTGCTGAGCATCTCTCTAGCTTTTCTTTTCTTTTCTTTTTTTTTTTTTTTTTTTTTTTTTTTTTTTTTTTTTTTTGTCTTTTTGAGACAGGGTCTCACTGTAGTCCCAGCTGGCCTGAACTCGTTATGTAGACCAGGCTGGCCTTGAACTCATAATGATCTGCCTGCCTCTGCCTTCTGAGTGCTGGGATTAAAGGCATGCGTCACCACGCCTGGCTTCTTTTAATTTTTAAAAAAATTAAAAAAAATTTATTTTATGCATATGAATATTTTCTCTGCATGTATGTAATTGTACCACCATGCATGCAATGTCTGAGGAGGCCAGAAGAGGGCATTGGACCCCTTGGAACTGGAGTTGTGGATGGTTGTGACTGTTAGGAACTGAACCTGGGTCCTCTGCAGGAGCAGCCAGTGCTCTTAATCACTGAGTCATCTGTCCAGCCTCCTTCTTTTAAATTTTTATTTATTTTTTCAAGTGTTTGATATGTTTTATTAAAAAAAATTCATTGTGTATATGTTACTATGTTACTTAAGGACACTTTCTCAGAAGGATACATTATATGTTGAGTAGACTCCTCCCATATCTTCTCTGTCCTCCCCCTTGTTCACCTAGACAGTTTTGCTTCTTTCATGTCATATATACATATATGATTTTATGTATATATATATAAAATCTGGTAACCACATAGAGAAAACACATGATGTTTGTCCTTTTGAGACTGAGCTTAATATGATTGTCTAGTTATATCCTTTTTTCTGTAAACACCATAACTTTTTTGACTGAAAGAAATTCCATTGTGTGTATATGTCACATTTTCTTTATTCATTCCTCTGTTAGACACCTAGGTTACTTCCATAATTTTCTATTGTGAGTGGTGCTGCAGTAAACATTGATGTGCAAGTATCTCTGTGATGCATTGGCCTGGACTCCATTGGATAAATAACCCAGGAGTAGTATAACTAGGTCACATGGAAGATCTGTTTTTAGTGTTTTTTTTTTCAATCCTCGTGCTGAGCTCCATAGTGGCTAAACTAGTATATATTCTCCCCATTAGTCTATAAGCAATCTCTTTTGTCCACATCCGCAGCAGAATTTATTGTTGTTTCTTAACGACTACCATCTTGACTTAGGCAAAATGGACTCTCTGTGTACGTTTATCTTCCAGTTAATGAGGTTGAATATTTTTTTTGTCTTTATTGCCCATTTGTGTTTTATCTTTTGAGAACTACCCATATTCTTTGTCCATTTATTGATTGGATAGTTTGATTTACTTGAACAAAAATTTTTTACATTAATATTGTGTGTGTGTGTGTGTGTGTGTGTGTGTGTCTGTGTGTGTCTGTGTGTTTGTATGTACTCGTGGAGGACCTAGGATACCTTTCGGGAATTGGTCCTTTTCTCCCACCTTGTAGGGCCTGGGGATTGCTCAGGTCGCCAGGCTTGGTGGTAGGTGCCTTTACTGAGCCATCTTGCTGCTTCCTGATTTATTGTTAATTTATTTAGTTCTTTGTATATTCTAGATATTAATCCTTTGTCAGATGTATATCTAACAAAGATGTTCTCCCATTCTGTGGCTCTCTCCTCACTTGATTAACTCTTTCCTTTATTGTGCAGAAGGTTTTTATTATTTATTTATTTATTTATTATTTATTTATTTATTATTTGGTCTTTTTGAGATAAGGTCTTCCTGCCACCCCAGCTGGCCTGGAGCTCACTATGTAGACCAGGCTGGCCTTGAAATCATAGATCCACCTGCCTCTGCCTTCCAAGTGCTGAGACCACAGGCATGCGTGACCACGCCCAGCATGCAGAAGGTTTTTGACTTAAAATCCCATTTGTCAATTGTTGGCATTGTTTACATTCCTTTTCAGAATGTCCTTGCCTGTGCCTGTGTCTTGAAATATTTTTCCTTTTTCCTCCCACAGTAACAGAGTTTTACATCTTACATCGAATCCTTTGATCTATCTGAAGTTTTTTTTTTTTCTTTTTGTACTGTCTGGGAGAGATCTAGTTTAATTTTTCTGGATGCGAACATACAATTTTTCCTGCACCTTTTGTTGAAGAGGCTATTTTCCCCTATGTGCATTTTTGATGTCTTTGTCAGGTCTTGTGGCTGTATTTGAGAGGATTTGTGAATCTGAGTTCTCTATTTTACTCCATCCAAATTATTGTTATTAATTACCACTAATATACATTATAAGACATCTGTGGAAAACAATCTCTAAGACTGTGCTAAGAGTACAGAATATGCAATAACTGATATTCTTTATGAAATGGCAAAGGTTCATTTTAACATTTTATTTTGGAAGATTAGATGCTACTTCAATTCTTCACCTTGGAGCAATAAGTAAATTATGGCTTATCTACCAAAGAAATTTATATAGCCATTAAAATGGTAACTTCAAATAACTTAAGTGTCCTAGGAAAACACTAAGGATACAGTGTTAACTTAAAAAGCACACCTAGAGGCTAGAGAGATGGCTCAGTAGTTAAGAGCACTGGCTATTTTTCCAGAGGACCTAGATTCAGTTCTCAGCACCTACATGGTGACTAACAACTATCCACAACTCTAGTTCAAGGGGATCTGATGTCCTCTTCTGGTGGGCATTGCAGAACATGGTGCTCTTACACATATGCATGCAAAACACTCACACACATTAAAAAAAAGTACATCTAGATGACAGGGGTGGTGATACCTGCCTTGAATCCCAACACTCAGGAGGTAGAGGCAGGGGGATCTTTGAGTTTGAGGCCAGCCTGGTCTACATAGCAAGTTCTGTGCCAGCCAAGGCTACATAGTGAGACTTTGTCTCAAAATAAATAAATAAATAAATAAACAAAAAGCTCACCTAGTGATCCTATGTGCAGCAGGATTTAAAATGCTTGTTTCTGGGGGTCAGAGAGATGGCTCAGTGGCTAAGAGCACTCATTGCTCTTGCACAGGACCCAGGTTCAACCCATGTGGTGGCTGACAATGGTACATGACTCCAGTTCCAGGGGACCCAACGCTCTCTTTTGGCCTCCACAAACATTGCACATATGTGGTACACTTACATATGTGCAAGGAAAACATCCACATGAAATAAAAATAAATAAATCAAAAAAGAAATACATCTTTATATGTATTTATCTATATAAAGAAAAAGAGCAGAAATATATTGAACATTAATTTCTGTATCATATGACTGTGGATGAGAAGGTCTGTCCATATTTTAATATTCTTTAGGGACCTGTACAGTCTTTTAATATATGATAAAATAGACCTGTAGGATCTGCCACTCTCTGTTCAACCCTTGTTTTTCTGGACTACTAGCCTGGGTGACAGATCATGAGAGCACAGGTGCAATTATGATCCTTACTGCTGAGATTTTTCATCCTCTCTCCTTTTGCCTCCCCTCCTCTCCTTTCTCTTTCTCTCTCTTTTTTTCTTCAAACAGGGTCTCACTTTGTAGCCCAGACTGACTTCAGACCCACAGTCCTTCTGCCTCAGCTTCTGAGTGCTGGGACTGCAGGCCTGCCACCCCATAGCTCTGTAGATACTGGCTTGTGTTTTCTTCACCTCTCACTTGTCAGCAGAGATCTGAGGTTAATTCTGACACTTTTAATTATTTTTTAATTATATCTTTTGAGGCAAACTCTCTTGTTTTGTGAACCTTCATTTTCCCTTCATTTGGAAAGGAAACCCTCTGCTTGGTTAGAGTGCACAGATAGGAGACAGTATAGAGAAGAGATGGCAGCCTGGTATCCACCTTCCTGTATTTGTTAGTGCTTCATTTTCCTGTCATCTTGGGACCTCAGTCAACCTGTCCTTTCAACTTCTGATTGCGATCTGCTATACCTAACTTGTACAAAGTTTGGTAATGATCTCTTCTGAGTCAGGATCTAATTTGCTGTCCACGCTGGCTTTGAACTCCTGGCAGTCCTCCTGTCTCTCAAGAGCTGGGATTACAGATGTGCGCCACCACACCCAGCTTTATCTGTTTTATTAACCACTACATCCTTATCTCTTGGTACAGTTTCTAGCATGTTCTGTCATAAATTTTTCACTCTGCAGTGCTAGAAATTGAACTCAGGACCTCGTGCATGCTAGGCAAGAGCTTTACCACTGAGTTATATCTCAAGCCCTCTAAGAAATGGTTTTTGAACAAGTCCTACTAACATTTTTGTGTTAGTTTGCATAATGTAGTTGCTTTTGTATATTAAAACACACACTAGTATCACAATGGTTGGAGTTTGGATCTGGAGTGTTGCCAAATGCCCATGTGTTAATGCTGGGCCTCAGTTTGGTGCTGGTTGAAACAGGGAGACATGAGACCCAGCCAGGTTCTTTAGGGTGTGGAGGTGCATGTCCCTGAAGGGGATTGTGGGACTCCCATGTATTTGTCTCACTCTCTCTGAGTCCTAGCTCTTTGTGAGTACCTCCGTTCAGCCACCTGCTTACACTGTGGTACATCATTGCTTCATCCCCAGCAATGGCCAGTCATTCATGGACTGAAATTTCCAGAGCTTGGCCAAAGTGAATCCTTTCTTTCATCAGTTGATCACCCTCCCCGACCCCTCCTGTGTTTGTATGCTTGTTTGTTTATTTGTGTGCTTGTGTGGGCACTCAAAGTTGGTTCTCTCCTTCCACTTGGATCCACTTGTTTCTACCAGCACTAGGATTGCAGAAAGTGCCATGTCCAGCTTTTATGTGGGTGCTGGGGGGGGGGTGTTGTCCACTCAGGTCCTTGTACTTGTGCAGCAAGCATTTTACCTATTGAGCCAACTCCCCAGTTCATAAGAGATTTTTTTAAATACAGAAAATTGGAAATGTGAAAGCAAAACATAGTTCATCATTTTAATAACCAGATGACCCAAAAAGAAAAATTTAAGTATACACTCAGAGTTTCCGATCTTTATGAAAAATAAGAAGCAACTGTAAAAGCCTGTCCCCATTTGTTTTCTAGTCATTAGTAACCCTTCTTTCCAGTATTTTCCAAAAGTTCATTTTTACCTTAAAAAATGTGTATTTTGTCAAAAATTTTGCATGATCTGGTAGGGGTATTTCAGATCTCTTAATTCCAGCCCTGGAGAGGTGAAGGCAGGCACATCATGAGTTTTGAGGCCAGCCTGGGCTTTCTGACTTTTTCCTCTGAAGGTGATACCATTAAGCAGGTGGGTTTCTGGTGAGAAACATATAACTATGGGGCTGAAGAGATAGCTCAGTGACTAAGAGTACTGGCTGTTCTTCAGAGGACCTTGGGTTCAGTTCCCAGCACCCACAATACAGCTAACAACTGTCCATAACTCCAGTTCTAGCATCCAATGTTTCATAATATGGGTGACTTACATATATGTAGGCAAAACATTCAGACACATGTAAATAAATTTAAAAACATTTAAAAAGAATTATATAGATGGGTGTGGTGGCACACATCTGTAATCCCAGCACTTGGGAGGCAGAGGCAGGTGGAACTCTGTGACTTCAAGGTCAGCCTGGTTTACATAGTGAGTTCCAGGACAGCTGGGGCTACAGGGAGACCCTGTCTCAAAAAGACAAAATATATATGTGTGTGTGTGTGTGTGTGTGTGTGTGTGTGTGTGTGTGTATAAACAGGATCCTTAGCATGGGCATGTAATAATTTTTAAGAATTTTTTAAAAAATCCTTAAAATTTGAAATTAGTTTCAGGTAACCTCCCTGTAATCTGTGTGAAGGTCTGTCTAGTCTAGGATGCAGTATGTTTCCTTGTTCTCCTTTAAGAACATGAATCTCTTTTAGCCGTCACTACACAGCCCTTTGGAAACCTATATGCGATGGTTCATGGTGAGCACCCATTCCAACTGTTGAGGATGAGCCTCTTGAGTTTTGCAGTCTGGAGTAAGGATTTATTCTCTTCCAGAACTGACTTTGGGACAGCTAAGGCTCTGACTCCCTGTAGGGAAGTTTTCCTTTCCACATTGACATTCTTTTGGGTGGGGTAGGAGATCTCAGACTGAAATGCCCCTCTGACCTTGGCCTCTTGGGACTACCCTACCCCTGGTTGGCTTACAATGACTGAAAGCCATATATTTCCATTAGTGGCTGATTAGTGTGGAAATTTGGTGATCTTAGTAACCATTGATTTATTGAGTGTAGACTGGTAAACAGAGGGAAGCCTTGCGTGCTGCCTTTCTTGGCAGGCCATTTTAGAAGTATTTGCATGGAATTAGTTAAGTTTGATAATCCTAACATTCTACATGTGGACTTACCTTGTTATGGTAGCGGCTCTTAGGTGTATGTTAAGGGGAGCAAGAAGAATGATTTTAACTTCAGAAAACCCAACATACAGAAATCATTTTTGTCAATCCACTTTTTAATTTATATTAAGAACTGATCTGGAATTTTCCTCAGAGCTGTGGTTTGGTGCTCTTCCAAAAGCAACAATAGGATAGCAACTGACTACAGTACATGAAAATGACCACCTCTTCCTTCTAGTCTGTCAGTGCCTTTTACTACTGAGAAGAGGTCAATTTTTTTTCTGTAATGTGTGTACATACTGTTAGCTCTACACTGATTGCTAAGTGGTTAACAATAAATTGATTTAGTTTAACTGAGGGCGCTTCAGGAAAGCAATGGTCTGCATGAGAAAAATGTTCATTACCTTTAATCCTAGACACACACATAAATTAGCAAGCTTCCCCTGCTGATGCCAAATGAATCATACAGATTGAAAAGAGCCCTGCGCCTCATGCATTGCACCAACTATCACTGGAGCTGACACTTTAGGGTGACCTTGGAGAGCTAATCCTTCATAAGAAAACAAACTTTTGCCCGAGGGAGACTGTGAATTAGGTAATTTAGCACTGATGAAAGATATTTCCAAGTGGATTCTTAAAATTTTATACCATTTGTTAGTAGCTTTGTCTTCCCTCTGTGCCTGTTAATTTTATGTTTGACACATATGTCTGCACTTAAGCAGCTGATTCTCTACAGGTTCCAGTTATGTGTGGGCTGGTAACTGTCACCTTCACCCTTTAAATGGCTTTTATTGTGGTGGAAATTTCTGAAGGACTCTGGTTGCACTTTCCTACCTCGGCCATGGAGTATTATAATTTCATGCCTAAAGTTTATTACGACTATTATTATTATTATTATTATTATTATTATTATTATTTTAGTCTTTTTTGAGACAGGATCTCCCTGTAGTCCCAGCTGGCCTGGAACTTGCTATGTAGACCAGACTGGCTCCCATCCCACAGAGATTAGCCTGCTTCTGCCTCGAAAGTGCTGGGACTAAAGATGTGCACTTACCATGCCCAGCATGCTTAAGTTTATTATGTTTGTTATTTGAAACACGAGTTTTCTGATCCATGAGATGACTGTATCAGCATGTGATTTCTCAAATGTTAGAATGTGGAGTTTATCCTTTGGTTTCAACAACATGTGATTCATCAAACTGAATGCTTGAACCTTGAGTGTGCTTATGTATGTCTGAAACTGACCCATTTAATTGAAGGGTGCATCAAAATGGAGCTGAAAAATAGTTTATTGAACATTTGATTGACTAGTTTAAGGCTGTACTTTTATGACAAATATACAGTCTTTTTAGAGATCTGAAACATTGGACACTGTGGTTTTCAGCATGTTGGTGAAAATCACTTCCCTTCTGTGACCATGGGTGATGCTGCAAACCATAGCCAAAGGCTGGCTTCTAAACGACCAGCATGCTCCCTGATAACTTTTGAAATTTTTATTTTTGGTCTTTTTGAGACACTCTCCCTGTAGCTCCAGCTGCCTGGAACTGACTCTGCAGACCAGGCTGGCCTCAAACTCTCAGAGATCCCCCTGCTTCTTCCTCCCAAGTGCTGGGATTAAAGGCATGAACCACCACGCCCAGCAACTTTTGAATTTTTATAAAGTGGAAGCATTTCGGGGCTGGCAGATCCTTACAGAAAAACTAGAGCCCTTTAAAGTTTGAATAAAGGAGATCACTAATGAGATTGATTGTAGAGTTATGTAAATCATTTTGGCTTGCTTTCACACAGTTGTTAGGCTTGCATTCGTACCCATTTGGATAAATCTTTGAAATGGTTTAATTGTACGATAAACATAAAAAAGTTGTCTGTGTGCTCTTTAAATCCATTTGTGAAAAAGAGATTTCCATCATGGAAATGCCTTTAACACCTATTTTCTATGGTAATTCAGTCAAATGAGACAGTTAAAGATTTGTATTTCTTTATTTGAATATGATACTTGGAGATCCCTTCCACTTTAACAACTTCTCCAAATTTCCTTGAATGTAGAATGAACATATTCAAACCATAGTTTCCAGTGATCAATCCATGAGTTTTAAAGTTATTTATTTATAGGTGCCCATTCTTTCAAATATATTTGTAATTTGGCTTTTAAATTATGTAGTTTATGTCGGTGAAAATTCTTGGCTACGATTTGGGAAGTATTTGTATGTGTCAGATGGACTGTCTCTGACTTTAATAGCATAGTATACCAGTGCCCTCTGTTTAAAGTTTTTTGTTTGTTTTGTTTTTGAGACAGGGTCTCCCTGTAGCCCCAGTTGGCCTGGAACTTTCTTTGTAGACCAGGCTAGCCTCCATCTGCCTCTGCCTCTGGAATGCTGGAACTAAAGGTAGTGTGCCACCACACCTGGAAGTTTCAAAGATTCTTATTGCTAAGATATTCCTGTCTTTTTGACCCATTCTAGGGCATTGTTATTTAGCAAAAACAAAATCCCTTCTGAACTCTTCTCTACATCCTTCTTGAGATTTTAGTTACTTTGAAATAAGGTAAGAAATCTCATGTTTGGTGAAGTGGCACAGGTTCATCTAGGCATGGAGGAGTAAAGAATTTCATGACTCCATTCTAGTTTCTAGAAAGTTTGACTTCCCTCTCACACACACTTCTCAGGTTTTCTACTGGAAGATGTGCAAAATGTCAAATGTCCCAGGAAAATACTTTTCATAGACTCAAAGAAAGGTTGAAGAGCCATCCTTAATTGACCATAATAAAAGAAATTATAGGCATTTATCCCACTGACATTATCTGATGTGAATAGTGCAAGCAGGATAAAAACCAAAACAATTGGAAGTTAATTAACCTTGCATTGTTATGTGGAGAGGGAGGGTCTGCTCTAAGATAGCATTATTATCACAATTACCACCGTGTCTCAGTTCCTTAGTATTGTTATTATTTTTATTTTTACCATTTTTTTAAAACTGAAGACTTTTTCCATATTAGGATAGGGGAAGTAAGATAAGAGTTCATGTCTTTCCTGTTTTGTTTGAGTATTAGTGACAAATAGTTTTCCAGTGTACAGATTAAAGTGCTGATTTTAGAAATGTTTCTTTTCACTCCAGCCCAGAGAACATGGGCCTTCTGGACCCTGCAACCAGTGATGGGAGAGTTATTTTCTTCTTGCCCTGGGAAAAGATGACGATTGCTGGCACTACTGATTCTCCAACAGAAATCACACCGCATCCCATTCCCTCAGAAGAAGATATCAACTTCATCTTGAATGAAGTGCGCAACTACCTAAGTTGTGATGTTGAAGGTAAGATAGATGTTCCTGCAGTGTGTCTTTCCTGTGTGGTGTCTCTGAGACTGTTCCAGTAACTCACTGCACCTTTCTTGACTCCGTACCTGGCAGACTGTAACTCTTACTTTTCTTTCCTTCCTTCCTTCCTTCCTTCCTTCCTTCCTTCCTTCCTTCCTTCCTTCCTTCCTTCCTTCCTTCCTTTCTTCCTTCCTTCCTTCTCCTTTCCTTCCTCCTCCCTCCCTCCCTTCCTCCCTTCCTTCCTCCTTCCTTCCTCCCTCCCTCCCTTCCCTTCTTCCTCCTTCCTTCCTTCCTTCCTTCCCTCCCTCCCTCCTTCCTTCCTCCCTCCCTCTCTCCCTCCCTCTCTCCCTCCTCACCCCTCTCCTTTCTTTCCTCCCTCCCTCCCTCCCTCCTTCCTTCCTTCCTTCCTTCCTCTTACCTTTTCCATCTTTTCTTACCTCCCTCCCTCCTTCCTTCCTCTGTGATGGCTCAGACCCAGAGTTTTGCAAATCTTAGGTGACTGCTCTACCTCTACCTCCAGAGTGCTGGGACTACAGGTGTGCTTACTACACTCCATATATGTACTGCTGGGGATAGAATCCAAGGATTCATGCATGCTTCTCGAGTGCTCTGCCAACTCAGCTACATCCCCAGCACTTTCAATAGCTCTTTTTTTTTTTTAAAAAAAAAATAATTATTTATTTTTATTATTTTATGTGTATGGGTGTACTGCCTGCATGCATGTAAATGCACTGTGTCAGGCAATGCCCATGGAGGTCAGAAGAGGGCATCAGATCCCATGGATCTGGAGTTTTGGATGGTTGTTAGCTGCCATATGGGTACTGTGATTTGAACCTGTGTTCTCTGCAAGAGCAGCCAGTGCTCTTATCCACTGAGCCATCTCTCCAGCCCTGCTATTAAGTTTCCTCAAAAGATCTACGAGGGCCACATTACAACATTATAGGAAGAATTACCTTTTCCTCTCCACTTTCTTCATCCATACAAGATGTATACAACCCATATGGACATTTCTAATGGAAGATTGCAGTGATCCATCCAACCCCTCAAACTCCTGCATTTTGACAAGCATGAAATGCTGGCATCACAGTTTTTAGCTACTTGAGGTCAGATATACAGATTTAAGAAATCCATAACAAATAGTGAAGGAAAAGAAATGTGAGCATAGAGGCATTCACTTCTCAATTTTTTAAATTACTTAACAAACAAACAAACAAAAAAACAAACCTGTGTTTGGCAGCAAGATCTCACTGTGTATCCCAAACTGGCCTCAAACTCACAGCAATCCTCGGCCTCAGCTTCCTGAATGCTAGAATTACTGGTGAGCATCACAGGTATAAAGGGCCTTTTTGTTGCCCTGACAAAATACTGTGCTTTTGTGATGTGAAGGTGTTTATTTAGCTCATAGTTTTGAAGGTGGAAAGGCTAAGATCAAGCAGCCCCATCTGTATGGCTTCTGGGAAGGGTCTTTTGGCCGTGCTCACAGTTATTACATAGAGGAGCACATCATGTGATGGGAGTGCATTAGAGAGTGGAGAGAGGAGGAGGAGGCCAGGAAGCCAAGAGTGACAACTGGCTCTTGGGAACCAAACAAGTCCTGGATTTGGAGACCTGACCCATTCTCTGAGGCAGCTTCCATCCTGTTCTGAGGCGCTCACCTTGCAATCAACTTCACTTGTCCCACCCCTTAAGGAAAGTTCTCACAGTCTTTCAGAACCTTTGCAATGGGGCCCAAGCTTCCAGCAGTTGACCCTCTGAGAAACAAACCAATTTGCAGATCATAGCAGTCTGTTTCTATGTGTAAAGTACAGTGGAGCCAAAGCTGGCTTCTTTTCAGTTCTTACCTAGGCACTTTAACTTGGATGTCACAGCACTTTATCCTACAAAGTTGTGTAATGGACTTTTTAATACACAGCGGTCTCAGAAGTTCTACAACATTGTCATTTGGAGTTTTGGTCTTCAGCAGCCACCTAGTCTTCCAAGCCAGAAGTAGAATCCTTTTCCCTTTGTGCTTGGTCACTTTCCTTACCTGGTTTTGCCTGTGCCCACGTTGAACATCATGCACATCGCTTCTCATTTTATTACTCTGATCATCACTCTGGTTCATACTTACCTATCTCCCTCCCTCCTTCCCTCTCTCCAGCTCTTCTTCCTTTCCTCTCTCTGTCTGTTCCTCCCTTCCTCCCTTTCTTTTTCTTTCTTTCTCTTTATTTGAGAGAGAACCTTATTGTTAGCCCAGGAATGCCTTGAACTCACAGCAGTCCCTCTGTCTCAGCCTCTAGAGTGCTGGGATTACAGGAGTATGCCATGATGCCTGGCTCGCTGATATCATTCCCTACTAGAATAGTTGCATTGGCCCCTTAACTGGCCTCTGTATTGTCAAACTTTTATCCCCACCCAATGGACCCTTCCATCAGAGCTCTGTTTCTAAAACACAACTGTGATCATCCCTTTCCTATACAAAAATACCACTTGGGATTTGATTCCTTTAACTGAATTGAAAATTTCCTAACTCTATTATATGACTTACAAAATTTCTCATAACTTTTTGCAGGTTTGCATCTCACCACTGCCCTTCCATGTGTTCCGTGGTCTAATCTTTGTAGTATTTAACCTTACCAAGTCAGGCCATACAGGTGTAAACCCTCTCACTTGTTTTCAGTGATCTGGGATGTCCTTGGTACAGTTACCTCATCTGTGGGACAATGGTCATATTTATGTATATCATATGGTATATCACACTATATTGCAGTACTAGTCTAAGTTGTCTTCTCACTTAGAGTTCCTTGTATTCTTCATTTACAAAGCTTGTTATGTAACTGATAAGTTACTGCTCACTATTATTTTGAATTAAAGTAAGTTAGTTATTGGTGCTGTCAGGGTTTTCCCTTCTATTTCCTTTCATTTTTAAAACTTAATAAGCAGTTCTCTTTGATTGCAGCTGTGCAATGCTGCTTGGTAGTATTCAGAAGCATCAGTAACGGCGGATTTCCCATCTGGTTTGTAGTCTTCAGTAATAATCAGGAGTTACTTGCATGAAGCCATTGTGAGACCACCAGGAATTGCTTCGTGAAGCCATTGTGGTCAGGATTGTTGGTAACGGGCATACTCCCCATATAACCTTGCCTCCTTGTTTCACAAAGCCAGCCTGCTCACGATCGCTTTAAAAGCTGTAGGTTGGATAATAGCACCATGAGGTGTGTGTAGTACAGTAAAGGGATTCTTTTTCACACCTTGTTTTGGCAAGTACAACAGGTGGCTTTCAGCTTAGGATATGTTCCATGGGCCATCTTGGAAATGTACACTCACTTACTTAATGAACCTTTCATAGTTAGGTAGTTTTTTCATAACCTTTGTCAACAAAGTAGGTGTTTCTTGTAGTTTTTAGTTTGCTTTTTTTGAGACAGGGTCTCCCTGTAGCCCCAGCTGGCCTGAAACTCGCTATACATACCAGGCTGGCCTGGATCCCACAGGGATCCGCCTGTCTCTGCCTCTTGAGTTTTGGGATTAAAGATGTGCGCCCCCACGCCTAGCCCAAAGCAGGTTTTAGTAACTACTGCTCTTCCATGCTTTATTTGTCTTTCTTGTTTGAATAATGGTTAGTACTTCTGACTGTCCCAGGACATGAATTGGGGCCTAGGAACTTCCCGTTTATTGGCCCTTTCTTTTCACTTCTGCTTAACTGCTTTAGAAAGGGCAGTTTTTGACAGAGCTTAGCTTTCAGACCAATAATTACTTTTTACCTTCTTGAGCATTTGTGAGCTTCTCTGTTTTTCATTTAGATCTTAAGGCTATAATTTTTTAAAATTTGAGTTTATTATTATTATCATGCACATGATGTGTATATGTGTGTGCAGGGCAGAAGACACTTTGGTCAGGTTGGTTCTCTTCTATGTTTACATGGGCTCCCAGGATTGAACTCAGGTTACTAAACTTGCACGGTAAGAGCCTTTACCCATAAAGCCATCCTGCTGGCCCAGAGCTGGTTTTGAAGTGTTTTGCATTCACCAAGCTTGAAATAATCACACTTAAAGGTTTTATTAAATGGATAAAGTACAATTCTGACAGCAGTTTCTGATTCTCCCCAAATGGCTATATACGAGAGAGAGAGGGAGAGAGAGAGAGAGAGAGAGAGAGAGTCAAATCCTCACAGTATGCGCTGTTAGCAGCAGCTGCCACACTTCTGCAAGATGCGTTGGAACAATTCTGAAAAGCATTTTGCCTGTTGGGAATAAGAACATGTCTTCTTTTACAATTTAGAAAGCTTTCCATTAACAGGCTGAATTTTCTAGATTACTTGTTTGTTCTTTTCTGAAATGGGTAATTGATAGTTCTGCAGTTCGTATTGAGTTAGGAAGAAAAATGATCTTTTGAAAAATGTATCATTAAGTCTCTGTGCAGAGGTTAATCAGAGGGATACGGTGGTTGGAACTAAGCTATGACTGCAGTGGATTGAGAGAGACCGAAGATTTGTGGTACACTTCATCCACAGCATGCTGGAGTGTTTCTCCAGGCAGCCTCTGCACTTGCACACGGGTTTGCACATGTGCAATTAGTCGTGTTTATAGATTGCCTGTTATTCAATTAACAGCTGAGCTGGCCATATCAACCCACTGCAGACCTGCCTTTTCCCTGCCAGAGATTGTACCCGGGTTATCAACTTACACAGGCTTGGATGTCTTCCAGCTGTTTAATTACAGTGTCATGCGCCTTGCTTTTTCTAGTTCCATTAGTTTATAAATGTAATATGGTATCTTATTTCTGTGATTAACACTTCATTCCAGCAGGTTAAACACGCTGGTAGAGAAGTATTGATTTCTGACATTGTTTCCCCTGTGTTCATTTAGATATTTTCACATGGTTCTTACATGTTTTTGAAAGTAGCAAGCATGAGGAAGAACACCCCAAAATGCATGTCTAAATAACTAACGTGAAGCAAACTCACATGCTTAGAGCTTAATTGTCACTTCCCGCGGACTCCATTTTCTATTAATTTTTAAACAAACACATCTTGTCAAGTATGTGAGAGTAAAAATATTAATTAAAATCTGAAGCCATCATATCGTGCTTAGCTCTTTTTCAAGAAACTGTGAAAAATGCTATTCAACTTTACTATTTATATATTACTCTTTAGATCTTAGAGTGAAACCAAATGAATTATGATTGAAGATAGGGTCTCTTTCTGTACCCAGGATGGTCTTGAACTCAAGACAGATCTCCTGTCTCTATCTCCTGAGTGCTGGGATCGAGTGCTTGAGAAATCACTCCTGGCGCAGAAAGTCTCTCAGTACCCTAATAAATATTTATTGATAACCATGCATGGCCTTTACCTTGGTGCAGTATTTAGGCTGTGGAGAGATATTAGAATCATCATTGCTGAAGACTAGCAACACATCAGGAAAAAGACAAAGCAGTCCTGAAATCTGACCTAACTCTGCGAGCAGTCTGAGAAACAGAAAAATAAGACAAGTCTTTGAGTTCTGAAACATGAAAGCCCCAATTTGTTATTTTCATTACAGATTTTAACCAAGGGGAGTTAAAATCATATTCACTACCTACTCTTGGCTGCACGTGTGTGATAGGACCAGTTTCTGGGTAATGGTTTAAGGGTGTGAGTACTTACTTGAGTATAAATCATTTTTATTTCTTTGCTCTCATGAGGTTAGTAAAGGGGAGGACTGTTGCATGTTGGTAACATTTGGGGTTGAAAGGATGTTCTCATGAGCAAAGCAAGCATAGTGAAATGTTGGTGGAAAACTGTGCCTTTTCGGTGTGGGCAAGGTGGCCGTGTTGGAGGTAGCCAGCGTGGTGACCCACGGCCTTGTGCAATGTAGCATGCCCAAATAGCATGCATTAGCTGTCTGTGGCTATTTAAGTGAAACTTTAAATTTTATTTCCTCAGTTCCCTAAATCACCTTTCCAGGGATTATTTGCAATATGGTGCTTTTAGCTAGCAGATCGGACAGTGAAGATACCAAACATTTCCACCACCGCAAAAACAATCTGTAGGACTGTCTGTCTTGTTCATCAGACTCTAGAAATTTTAAGTAGATTTAATGGTGTCACTCAGTTGAGGGAACAGGTTATAATGTTAAGAAAGACAAAAAAAATTATCTTGCAAAACAAAAATTCCAGATATAAGAAGGCAGATGAGGTGATTCATTTCGAGATTCAGCAATGACTGGTGCATGGACATTGTTTTTCTTTGTTCTACCACCACCAAGCTCCAGGACCCCCATGCTGCCTCCCTCCTTGTTTCCTTCTTGCATACAACATAACAGCAAAACTCTAGGCAAAATCAAAAGATATGATGCTTATTCTTTATTCTGACTTTCCACTTACTGCTTTTGAATCTCTTCAGTAAATTTTAATTAGGATTTGTTTAACAAGTGTTCAAGCTTTGCAACTTGGTTAAATATGTCATGAAGAGAAGTTGGTCAGCTTCAATTAGTTACTTTTTTTTTTTCCTTTTGAAAGAGTTAATGTTTCTATGTTTAGCTATTCTGTGCCCCATGGGCAGAGAATTTAACTGTGACTGTCCAGTCCTTACAGAATTTGTGGCAGTGAGTACAAACGTCACACTTTAGCAGCAAATAACATTTTGAATAATACGTAAAAAAATCGTTCTGTCAAGTTTGGGAGGGAACAGATGGATAGATGGAAAAATGAACTGACTTTACTCTGACCTAGTAATAAAAAGTCCTGCAGACCATTAAAAATGCACCACATTTTAAATGAAATTTTATTAGCTTTAGAAATGTATCTTTCTGGGTATATCCAATTCCCACATCCATCTGATAAAAGTCCCAAGCTAGAAAAGCAAATGCGAAGATCACAAGTATAATAAATTTCCCCACTGTGAACACTTTCTTCCTAAGAGTGGGTTGTGTGTCTGAGGATCAATTCCAGAAGTTGGGATAGGAAATGGGATTAATGTGCACAGCATTTTGTTTCATGCTCTTCATGAGTATTTCAGGTCAACCCTCTCCAACAGTAAGGCCTTGGATGTGTGTTTCTCTGCCCATTGGAAGGAAAAAGTGGAGCCTTGGCCACAGATTCTTTGTGTGTGCTTCAAGTTTATTCTGGAAACTGATTTTCCATAAAATAATTTAAGAATTAGTCATGGGGCTTCAAGAGTTGAAACTAGATTCCTGATCAGTGTGGCTACCAAAAGAATTTCACAGACATGGGAGGGACTGTGCTGACCACAGTGACGTACTAGGTGGGTTGGCTGTTCTATTTTTTACTCACAGGGCTATGTGAACTCTAATGGAAAATAATAGTAATTTCCTAGTTAGGTATTTTGCAACATTGAAGCACTTTGCAGTATTTGTGTTGAGGTTTCACGAGACTTGTAGAGCTCTGTGAGGCTGGGGTTAACTCTAGGCCACAGAAGTCATAGAATCACACCTATTTAATAGAATACAAATACCAGAGAGCCAGACCTGGGGCTGGTAAGGCCTCCCATGGCCTCTAGTTGGCCAGTGGAGAAGTCTTAGGCTTTCTCAGTGGCTTGTTATGTCCCTCTCCCCTTGTTTTAATAGAACTGTTGGATGCAAGTCCCCTCTTCTTTCAGAGTGCAGTCATCTAAAAGTGTGGCCCTTAAGCAGCTATATTAAAATACAGTAGATTTACCAAAAATCTTTACCAGAAAGCTAATTTTTCACAGCAAAGTCTGTGTAGCTCAGGTTGGCCCCAAACTTGTGATCTTCCTGCCTCAGCTCCCCTAGTGTTAAGATTACAGGTGTGGTGCCACCAGACCAGCAATCTGGTGATTTGAGACTGAGACACTGGGTATGCGTTGGGGCTATCCTACCATTCAATATAATTCGTTTAAAGGGCTTTCTCCCTCTAACCGTAAGGTGCATTTATTTTTATGTTACTTAGATTTTATGAGTATTAGAAGTTCCTTATCTATTGTGGGCACCGACCTTATCAGATACATGATTCAAAAATATTTCTCTTCATTCTATGGGATGCCTTTCATTCTACTACTAATGTCCTTTGAGGTATAATTTTTACAAATTTTAAGTCTTATTTTTCTTCTTGTATGTGTTTTTTATTGTTGTTGACAGTCTTTTTAATGTTCTATGTAAGAAACCATTGGCAAGTGCAGTGTCATGAAACTTCCACATGCTTTTGTCTAAGAGTTTTATAGTTTAGCCCTTAATGTTTTGTCTTTGATTAATTTTAATTAAATTTTGCATAAGGTATAAGATAAGGGGTCTGCTTCCTTTTTTTGCATGTTGAGATCCAGTTTCCCTATTGTCATGAAGTTTAATGTCTTGGGGAAAGGTGTCACACTTGATCTCACATTGATTGATTTTGCTACATTGTATGCAGCAGGGCCAGGCTGGCACTTGTCGGTCAATGCATATGCACGGTCATCTCCCTTATGCCAAGGAAAAGAGCCAAGTTACTTCCAAAGTTTCCCTAAGCAAAGAAGGTTAAAGTTTGGAAACCCTGTCCTTGAGTGTTGTCCCTGCCCTGATTGTGGACTCCAGCTTCCACTGATCTATATTCCTTACCCACTTCTAGATCAGTAACAAATGGTTTTCACAGCCATCTGATTTAAATATGTACTTCCTCCTTCCTGGTATTGCTATTGATGGACAACAGTTTGCCAGAGACAAGAAGAGTATTACACAGCTACTGAGTGGAGACAGTATGCCAGTCTTTTGATCAGTTATAAAAGTAAAGAATGAGCAAAGGAAAAGAGTAGAGAATGGAGGCTGTCGACAGTTGAGGGACACTGCAATGTGATGAGTGAAAAATTGACTTCAGAACCAGGAAGAACTGTCTGAGGCTGGTCTACCATATAAGGGTATTTGCTTGGGGCAAGTTCGTTGCTCATGTTAGTTAGTTAAACTTGTTTGATTTGTATGGTGAGAAGGACAATCCCTAATGCGCTGGGGTTCTGTGAGGTGAAATGAGAGGATTGGGCATCAAGTGTTTTTCACAGAGCTGGCCTGCTGCAGATGCTGATAACGAGTGGAATTGGGGAGGGAGAAAACATCCAGTTACAAGCTTGTTCATTGAGAATCTCTATCTTCTTGAGAAGAGATAGCCAGATTTACTCTGGAGGGAAATTTAGCAATTTAGAAATCTCTTTTGCTCTTACTGGTAATTTTTGTCCCAGTTAGGGTTTCTGACATCTGCCTCTGCGGCTTCCTTCTTGAAGCCATTGCTGGTGATTTTCACGTTTTTGTCTTCCTTCAGGGAAATCTTCTGCCTATCAAAGAATTCCCCCTCATAGTTCTTAGAGCTGAGGTTACTTTCTCTCCTCCCGTATACTCACATATACTCCTGCCCAACACGTTCCTGTGCATTGTTTTTCATAATTTTGTTAAAAATGTTTTTGGTCCCTACCAGTGAGAAGAGGGGATGTTCTGGCAGCTTGGAGTGGTATCCGTCCTCTTGTTACCGATCCTAAGTCTGCAGACACTCAATCCATCTCTCGAAATCATGTTGTGGATGTCAGTGAGGGTGGCCTCATCACAATTGCAGGTATGGGAGATGCTTTTGTTTCTTGGATGCACTTTAAGTAAAGGTGTAGACTCATTGAAACTCCCTTTCACTCTAATCAATAAGTGTTTTCTTTTCATGATTCTGGGTATCATCCTATGTTGCTTCCCCAGATTTCTTACCAACAAGTGACTACTATTATTGATAAATGGTTAATTATAAGAAAAATAAGGAATGTCAACTAGATGGCTCATCAATTTCTTTGTAGGTGGGAAGTGGACAACTTATCGCGCCATGGCAGAAGACACTGTGAATGCAGCCATCAAGGTTCACAACTTGAATGCAGGACCAAGTAGGACAGTTGGGTTGTTCCTTCAAGGTGGCAAAGACTGGAGCCCCACACTCTACATCAGGCTTGTTCAAGATTATGGCCTTGAGAGCGAGGTACGTGTACATGGCCACCTTGGTTTACTATTGCTAGGAACACTAAGCAGCTGAGGTGTGGTCTCCCTGACTTGGACTTCCTTTATGCCGTGCTCCTTACTCTGTGTATTGCAAAAGTAAACTAAGAAAAAAGGATAGTCCAACTTTATCACAGTTGTGTTAAAGACAATGCACATTTTAGTTTCTCTTTGGAAAGTGTAGTTTCTTTGGTTTATTCCTAGTGTGCAAAGTTTTCCATATTTTCTCTGTCCTAAGTGTAAGGAAAGCTGTTCTCTGGAAGTGATTTCAAGAGCAAAATGAAGCTGAAGCTTCATCCGTCACTGATACAGTGATACATGAGTAGCTGAGTCAGTGCTGGCCTAAGCATTCACAGCCCAAGTGGTTTCCTCCCACAAACCCAAACCTAATACTCCCTGAGAGCTATTAGTTACAGGCTGTAAGAACACTGACAGGAGAGGCATGCAACTTTTGTACCTAAAAGGAATTACACTCAGAGTGCATGGCTAATGCAGTTTTGTTTTCTGCAGGTGGCGCAGCATCTTGCCACCACCTATGGTGACAAGGCTTTTGAGGTGGCCAAAATGGCAGGTGTGACTGGAAAACGGTGGCCCATTGTTGGAAAGCGTCTTGTGTCAGAATTTCCATACATTGAGGCAGAGGTATGTTGTTGTCACGCAGGAATTTCCTGTGTGCTGTGTTCTGCCATTCGTCCGTTCTTTCTTCTTTAACCATTATGCGTTGCTGTTTCAATGTACATGTCAGCTGAAATCTGGAATAAAGTCTCTGCCTTTCACAAAGTTTTTATTCTGAAGTGATGTTGTAGTGGTCATAGTATAAATATGGATTCCGTGCCTGGGGGACCTGTCCCAATTCTGTAAGTTCACAGTTGTTTGTTCCTTAGTGAATCTGTAGCTCTTAATTTTATACCACTTCTGTCTTGACTGGTGTCATGCCTTCCTGCTTTGACAGTTTCTCAGAGATGTCTCTTATTACTCATCATGTTCTCTCACACTTGAAACCAGGGACCATGTTTCATATATATTTGTAATTCACTGTGCCTTTAAACATTGGTGTCCAGTAAGCATGTACATGTTGATAGAAAACTTTACAGGCTAAAGAGTTCAAAACACAACTTTTCTATCCTCATCCTCTGCATATTCAGCCATGTTAATTAACATTTCATTATGTATAGAAAACAGAAATGAATGCTTCTTGTTGATGGTAAATGAACGATGATGCAGTCTGCATGTCTCTTTGCAGTTTTGTTCAAAAAGAAGACAAATTATTGTCCAGTTTATCCCATTTTCCAGCATCCTTTGGCAGGCAAATGGAGGACTTGTGTTGGGCTCTATTTTTCTCATGTCTGCTGGAAAACGAGAGAGAAAAACACCTTTTCTCAAAGCATGACTTGTTTTTTTAAGTGAAACGTTATTCTTTTAAAAGGAAGATTGAAACTAATAATTTGTTCTCAATTCAGGTGAAATATGGGATTAAGGAGTATGCCTGCACCACGGTGGACATGATCTCACGGCGTACTCGCTTGGCTTTTCTCAATGTTCAGGCTGCAGAGGAAGCCCTTCCCAGGATAGTTGAACTGATGGGCAGAGAACTGAACTGGAGTGATTCTAAGAAGCAGGTATTATATAAAAGTCTTGATAACTACAATTCCATTTATAAACAGCTTACAAACAGCTTGCTCTGTTTGTAAAGACTAGTGTAGTTTGGGTGGTGATTTTAGATTTTCTGCTCATTTCTGTATGTAAACATTTTTTTAAAAAATTAATTTTTATTTTATGTGTATGAGTGTTTTGCCTACATGTATGTAAATGCACCAGTGTCATGCAATGCCTATGGAGGCCTGAAGAGGGCATTGGATCGCTTGGAACTGGAGTTATGAATTGTTTGTTGGCTACCACATATGTTGGTGCTGGAAACGGAACCCAAGTCTCCTGCAAGAGCAACCAGTGCTCTTAAGTACTTAGCCATCTTTCTAGCCCCTGTGTTTAAACATTTAATATTGCTAGGCTTTAGGAAAATGAAAAGATGTTTTTACACCAAAATTTTCTTGTTCCTAGAAATATAGAGAATGCTCTTAAATTCCTGGTTATAATTCCTAGAAAAGAAAGATACAAAAGATGGTTGGGTACAGCCATTTCTGGATTTCACTGAAAGTACTCTTAGGACATTTTCAGTGAATTTTATGCTCTTGTTAATTCTTTGATAAAAATAGTGGTTTCACTTTTTTATCACCAAGTTCTTTTCATGTATTTCATCTCATATTTTATATTTATAACCAAATTAAAGAAATCCAGTGATGCTCAGATGCACACACACATACATACACACACACATGCACTCATACACATGCATCCGTTCCTGGGTTTATTGTAATCGCCAGAAAATCATGTTTTTTGTTTTTTTAAATTAGCCCAAACTATGGTGCTATGCAGTGTTTTCATGCATTGAAAACATTACTTTCTGCATTCACTGGGCCCTGTTCTTTCTCCACCCCCCCACAACTGCCCCCCTTCCTTGAATTGAATCTGTTCAGGTTTTTTGTTACTACGTCACTAATTAACCCTAGGCAAGTTCACCAGGAGTACCAACAAGCATTTCATTTGACCACATAGCAACATTTATGCTCATTTGATACAGCACCATTTGATACAACTGTCTTTCTTGAGCCATTTTTTTTGTTTGTTGGTTGAGATAAAGTTTTGCCTTGTAACCCACACTGGCCTTGAGGTCTCCGTCTATGTTAGTTACTTTCTGTGATAAAACACCATGACCAAAGCAACTTCTAGGCTTATCACACCAGAGGAATAAGAGTGCGTCATGGCAGGAAAGCATGGCAGGAGGCAATCAGAGCAGAAAGCTCACAATTTCAGGTAGGCACAGGAAGCAGAGAGAAAAACTGAAAATGGGATGAGACTGTATACTCTCAAACCCGGCTTCTTGGTGACATGCTTCCTGTAGCATGGCCTGCCATATATCCTAAAGGTTTATAACCCTCCCCAAACAACACACTAACTAACCAAGTAACCAAGTGTTCAAATACTTGGAGCCTCTGGTGAACATTTTCATTCAAACTACCACACCATCCTTCTGCTTCTGCCTCCCAAGTGCTGGTTAAATAGCTCTTTTCACCTCAGCTCTCAGACCCAAACCTTAGCACATACTTTAATATATACACTATTAAAATCCATCAGCAAATTTTACCATATTTATCTTGGTTGAAATCGACCCTTTCTTACCACATAACTACTGGTACCTTGAGTTTGCCTACTGGTATCATTGTGGTGACTTCTCTCCAGATAAGCCAGTGTACTCACCTTAACAACTTTGGGATTTTATGATAACAGTCTGACAGCTCACTGGGCATGTTGGGTGAAGCCTCTGCTGAAGGTATATTTTTAAGTTGTCTTTTAAGCCATCAGTGTGGATGTGATCATGGAAGGAGTTAATGTTGATAGTTGTGGAAAGTGGCCCTGAGATTGAGCTTAGGAACACAAGTTTAGAAATTGGAGACATGGAAGAAAACAGAAGAAAGAGAGAAGTAGCTGGTAATGGTGGAGGAGGTCTAAGAAGACTAAGTGGGAGTTGTGGCTCAGAAAGTCACAGTCCATTTGGACTGTGGTGACAGAAATATGGTCAGTGAGGTGCCTCAAATAGCAAACATTTCTCACAGTTCTTCCCACTAAGAAGGCCACAGTCAAGGCACCAGCAGATCTAACTGCTTTTCAAGGTTCGTAGACAGTCTACTTGGTGTATTCTCACTTGGGATGATGGGCTGAACGTGCAGACAGGGATTAGGCATGGTCTGCCCTTGAGTGTTCTTACTATGCTGTAGAATCCTGAAGGTGGAGCTCCTGGGAAATGTGAGAGAAAGGGGGTTTACAGGCTTGACTTTATCAAACTCTTCAGGGGCACTGTGTCTTTAAAATTTTCCTGTTCTGTTGTGATTTTTTTGTTGTTTTGTTTTTTTGTTTTGAGATGGAGTTTCACTATGCAGCTCTGGCTGGTCTGGAATTCATTGTGTGGACCAGACTGGTCTGTACTCACAGAGATCCTTCTGCCTCTGCCTCCCAAGTGTTGGAATTTAAAGCATGCACCACTACACCCAACAAAATTTTCCTGCAGTGAATTTAATGCCATGTTTTGCAGTAAATTAATGGTAGAAATCTCTGGTCAGTGTCTTGCTACCTTAATTGTGTCTCTGTGAGGAGTAGCCTGGTTTTTGGACTTTTAAAATAGGGTCTTATTTTATAGCCCAGAGACTCATGAGCCTTTTGCCTCAGCCTCCAACAGCTGTGATTATACCCTGCTGTGAAGGGAGAACCTTTACTAACATTTGATAGTTGAAGAGACACACCTACAGAGTAAGTCCCTGACAAGTTTATTCAAGCAGTAGATTGTAGACCTGGTCTTCTTTCCCCTACTCTGCCCTGCCATCTCTTATTTAGCCATACTGGCTTCTAGCTTCCAGTTTTTTTTGAGTTCTAGCTTGATGAGTTAAAGATCTACACAGAAACAGCAGAATAGTTCCTCCTGTGTCACTGCCTGTCATTTTTCTGTATAGGATTAGGGATAAGACTTTTATTATAAAAAGTGTGGTTGGGATGATTTGAATATGTAGGAACATATTAGGATTTCAGGAGGTAGGAAGTCAGAAGAATATTCTATAAGCCAGTCAGCTATGCTTGGTGTTTCCAGGAGACTTAGAGTTAACTTCATTTCACATTTTATGAGTAGATTTACATGCTTAGGAATATTCTACTAGCCTCCTTAAAGTAACAAAAATAAAACACCTAAGGTTATTATTCAGTATCTGAGGCATTGGTGTATTATGTAAAGCTGTAGACCATCTAGAGAGTACAAAGGAGAGGAGAAAAAAGAATTAAAAGGTTAGAAAGTTGTACTTCTGAGAAAAGGTTAAAAGCACTGGGATTATTTAACGTGCAAAATGAAAGAGGAACAGAGTGATAAATAACTCTGCATGGATGAATTGTGTTGTTTCTACTGGTCAATACCTGATGAGTGACTTGTATGCTGAACATGGTGCCAAATATTTTGGGAGAATAATAAATAGCTCATAGTTTCAAGGACCTTGAAAACTAATTGGATTGATAGAACACGTATATATGTTGGAAATACATGTATATTTTAAATTTTTACAGAAATATTTAGAGAGGTTATTCCTAAAGACTGAAAATCAGCCAGCATGGGAGAGTGGACTAGGTAAGAGGGCACTGCCTGGTAGAGTTGGGAAATGACAGAGGAACTGGAAGGGACAGTTAGGGAATAGCCTGTCCAGACTGTATAGCAGGGTGTGACTTCAGTCTGTGAGAAGATGAGTGCATGGCCAGAAGTCTGGGAAATTTTGTGTTAAACAAAGTAAGAAATCCCCCCCCCCCCCCCTTTTTTTTTTTTTTTGTCTTATTTTGGTTCTCCCTGTTGCCCCAGCTGTCCTGTAGACCATGCTGGCTTTGAACTCCCAGAGATCTGCCTGCCTCTACCTCCTGAGTGCTGGGATTAAAGACATGCGCCACCATGCCCAACTAAAAATTTTCCTTTAGCTCAGATAATTTGGACTCTTTGAAATGCTAATGTCAATTTCCAAGAGAGAAAATTTTTATGGGAGGCCTTAGAGCAAACTCACTTTCTGGAAGGGCTAAGCTTCACTCAGGTTGTGTTAGGGGAAATGCTAAGCAGAGGGAGATCTTATTACTTTCACATAAAGTACTTTTTTCTTTTTCATTGTGAGACTTTAAATTTCAAATTTAATACAGACGATAAGTACTTAAAATGAAAGGATGAACATCAGGAATGGTTTGTGTGAATAATACTAGGAAATGGCTGGATGCTGGGGAAAATAATGCTAAGGGTAGTGAAATAACCTCAAAAATGACAAAGAATGCTGGCAAGGCACAGCTCAGGTCATTGCACACGCACCCCTCTTTCTTCCTCAAAATAGTAAAGTAAGTAGTGGTAAAGGGGAAGATGTTTTCAAAATAGGGACACAACCAAATACATTTTATTCCAGTCAAAATTTTTTATTAGGATTATCTAACTACTGTTGATCTTTAAAGCATTCTAATAGAAACCAGAAAACAGAGGCGGGGGGGCGGCTTGCAAATGCAATACCAAGTTTTAAAAAAAAATCAAAATACTGCTTTAGAGCATAGAAACTGTCTTAATTTCGGTCCTGGCTGTTTTTTCTAAATCATTATAATTTGTTTATTATTATTTACCAAGAAATGTTGATCGTTGGAAGCTAATAAGGAGTCACTAAAGAAAAAAAAATCATTTGGTGTATCTCATTTTCATTTTAATTACAGCAAGGTGATGAAAAAACTGTTACAGACATGATATATTCTGATGCCATAAAGTATTTTATACAGCCCCAGGAATTTTTGTAAAACTGGTAAGGTTTCTAATCAAGTTACCAGTTTTGACCTCTGAAGAGGTCTGTGAAGGCAGGTTGAAAGCATTCTGCCCTTGATCGTGAGCTAGTCTTTCTTGGTTCACATGTTTACATTACAGTGTTGGCACCACACCTCCTTGGTGTGCCAATAACAGCAACTGAATGAAGTGAATGACTATTTGATGACAAACTGAAACAACAGGCAAATGTTTATTAGGTGTATTTTAATAAAGACAAATGGTAAACCTTGTAGGGAGGTACATTTTGAGTGGGAGGCAAAGATTCCTTCCTGCTTTGAAATGTCATGATTCCTTGTTTGATGGAATCTGGTTAAACTGCTGGACAGCAAAGAAACATGAATTGAGTAAGAGGTTGTCACCAGAGGGAAGCTCAGAGATGGCCCGTCCAAGGGTATGAATTTTAAACTAGTTTGTAGAAAATGGCTGGACAAATTGCGAGAAAATAAAAATTTAAAACATAATTGATGGATTTTCTTGTGTGAAGAGAGAAGTCTCACAGGTAAGGATGCTCTAGGAGATGGAGATTTTATGAACAAATTTTATTCAACCATAGATCAAATTGTAGATTTAGACACATTTTAGTGTTCTTAAGCAGGGAATACATTCATATACGTAAAATAAAAATATAAGTAATAAATAAAATAATGCCCGCGGAGGTCAGAAGCCAGAAGAGGAGGGTTGGATCCCCTGAACCTGGAGTTACGGACAGTTGTTAGCCACCATGTGGGTGCTGGGAACTGAACTTGGGTCCTCTGCAAGAGCAGCCAGTGCTCTTAACCACTGAACCAGCTCTCTGGTCCCAACACTTTTCATTTTTAAGCTCAGCATTCTGTAGCATTCCTAATGCATTATTTTCTCCTTTTGTTGGATCTGTTTCCTAAGAGAAAGGACAGTAGGAAGGGAATAATCTCAGAAAAAAAATTTGCCTAAGAGAAAAGAGTAACTAGACGTATCACCAACTTAAGAAAACATAGAAATACACTTCACAATTATGTGCAATTGTTTTGTTTTCTAAATTTCAGTTTACTCACATTTGATATTTTCATGGTCAGCATTCAGGATCCATTGAATTAATAACATCCTTTGATGTTGCTGCTAAAATTCCTTCTGGGAGATGCAAATGCTGCCCAGCCCCCTCCTCCCACTGTCCTTACAACAAACCAAGGTATAATTTCTCCAAACTACAGGGGGTTACTTACAGAGCAGTGGGCAAGGGGCAACTTACAGGAGTATGGGGGCTCCCCCAACCCCCTCACTCAAGGCCGCACTGTAGCCCTCCAAAACTGTGAGAGAGTGCCTTTATTGGTATTTTCCACCTAGGTACCTTTAGTCCCTCCCTGTCGTGCAACTGGGTAGACTGATTGGTTGGGATGTGTGGCTGACCCTCCCTGTCCCTCCTTTCTTGCATAAACACAATAGTCACATTTGTTTGTGATGATCTTAAGCTAGCGGGTACAACCAAGCTTGGGAAGCTTGATATTTGGAAGACAGTTCTATGCTACAGTTGTGAAGTTGGGAATTTAGGACCTGCTTTGGTTTTTGCTAGGCGATGTTTGACAGGCAACTAAAAGCCTCAGTGACTTGTGCTGGAGCTGACTTGCTGTTAAGAGTGTGTGCTGCTTTTGCAGGGGACCTCAGCACCCATGTTGGGTGACTCACAACCCCCTGCAACCCTAGCTTCAGGGGATTCCACACCCTTTAATGGAGTCTGTGGGCACCTGCACACAAGTTCACATACCCTCTACACATAACATAATTAAAGCAATAAAAATTCATCTTAAAAAATAGTCTCAGTGGCTTATCACAGCCATTGCTCCTCCTCTTTCGGTCTTTTTGAGACGGGGTCTCCCAGTAGCCCCAGCTGGCTTTGATCTCAGAGATCCACCTGCCTCTGCCTCCTGAGTGCTGAGACTAAAGATGTGTGCCATCATGCTCTTTTTATGTCTAGATGGGCTTTGCCTTGCTCTAAACTTTGCCTCTTCTCAAGGAATAGGAGTAAGATGAGCAGTGAAAACAGGAAGTCCCTTTTTTTCGGCGGGGTCTTTTTGAGACAGGGTGGAAGTCACTTTTTAAGCTGTCACTCAAAGGAGCATATCTTATGTGCATTACATTGCGTTGGCCAAAGTAAATCACATAGTCAAAGCTCACAAAAGTGAGATTGAAAAATATATGTATAGGGGTGTGTATACATGTGCGTATGTGCATATACATGTGAGGAAAGAGATTTGCACACAGTATATTATACTGTCATATAGTCACTTGAGGTAGTTTGATGGGAGAGTGACATAAGAGAAGCTAAGAAGGACAGTGTTTGTAGCAATAGTTTGTATTGGGTAAGACTTGGGACACTGGAAACAGCAAGAATAACTGGAGGAGAGTTAGCTTCTTCCTGACTGCAGCCATCAGAACCCCAGCTACAAAGTCAGAGCGTAGATAACCTCATGGTGTCCGCATTGGCACGCATGCCATACTAGAGTAGTAGCTGAGCCCTAGACATTTCACTTCCGTTTGTTTGCTTTTCTCATCATTAAGCTGTAGGAATTTATTTGGTCTTGTAGAATTCAGTAGTCAATACTGTACAAGAGTGTATTACAGTTTTACTGTAGAAACAAAAATACTAAAGCACGCAGCAACACAGGTGAGCACAAGTTCTATGTGAACTTTGTATGAAATTTCAGAACAGTTCAACTGGTGACCCAAAGAAGAACACAGGATGCCTGGGGTCAAGGAAGCAAGCAAATGCAGGTGGACCTAGCATATTTGTAAGGTAGTAGAAATGTTTTGCATCTTGAGCATACTAGAGTGTATCTTAAATTGCCCACTGTAAAGGAGTGAATTGTACTTTAGTAAAACTGGAAAAGGTACGCTGGTTCAGCAAGTGAGAATCAGCTCCCTTTCTGACAACAAAAAGAAGAAAGGAAAAAAGTCAGTAACTCCTGTAAATCTGTGAACTTTGTGCATGTGTTTCTTCTTTTAGGAAGAACTTGAAACAGCTAGGAAGTTTCTGTATTATGAAATGGGCTATAAATCTCGATCAGAACAGTTAACAGATAGCTCTGAAATTTGCCTGCTCCCTTCAGACATCGACAGGTACTTCTAATAAGTCTTTCTTCCTCGTCTTCTTCCACCTTTTCCTTCTCTGTCTTCTTCCTCCTCTTCCTTTTCTAATGTAAATAACTTTTCCATTATAAAATGCTGTGTTTCAGATATAAGAAGAGATTTCATAAGTTTGATGCAGATCAAAAAGGCTTTATTACCACTGTTGATGTTCAGCGTGTATTAGAGGTAATACACAGAATTCTTGCTTTCTTGATAGTCTTTGGTTATGGAAGAATATAAAGATAATATTGCATAGCCTTTTTTCTCATCTAGCATTTCTTTTTATAAGTAGTGTCATTAAAGGTTGGAGAACGGAGGGATGGGAAAAAAGTTTGGACAGGCATAATTTTTAATTAAACCTCATTCTGCATTTTTCTTATTAGAGCATCAGTGTGCAAATAGATGAAAATACACTACATGAAATTCTGAATGAAGTAGATTTGAACAAAAATGGACAAGTTGAACTCAATGAATTTCTGCAGGTGAGTTGTGGTGAAGCAAGTGTGTGTGCTTTATCTTTGGTTGTCTTTATCCTAAGAATGGATTCTTAAGTCCACATCTCAGTCACTTCGTTCTGAAAATGTGGTTTAAGCCAGCAACAATTGATCTGTCTGCCCTCAAGCATAAGCATGAGGTCTACTTGGTACATGTTCATGCTTTTTATGAGAGGCCTCTGTTCTATTGGCCAATTTAGATTAATCTAACTTAATTATGACTTAAAGGGATTCGTAAGCACTTGCTTTTTAAAGGATGATGCCATGGAATCTGATCTCTGAACTGTTTACATTAAGAGAGGCAACATAATATTTCTAGTGTGGAAAACCATTTTTTTTAATGGAAGAAGTTAAAAACTATATTTTTAACTAAAGAAAATAATTTTCAATTCTTACATTATGACAAACCAAAAAAGCAAAAAAAAAAAAAAAAAAAAAAAAAAAAAAAACAAAACAAAAAAAACTTTGCTCTGGGGTCAAAACCAAAAATTTGAACATTTCTATTTCTACTTTTCAAAATACTGAAATATTAGTTGTTTAATCGTTGTAGCCATGAAGGAAATAAATTTTGTTGCTGTGATCTCAAGCTAGGTGCTCCATGTGATCCCTTGAAAGTTCTTTAAAGACAGGAAATTCAGTGAACCCATATATTAGTAGCAGCCCACATGACTGATCATTTGAAGAAGTGTTAGTTTCTAGGCAGTCAGGTTTTTTTCTACAGTGTTTCTTGGGCAGGTGTTTCAAATGAATGCCAGGTCTTGCTTGCACCATGGCAATGATGAATGCTGAACATGAAATAAATTAATGCTGGGGATTTTGGTCAGTGTCAGCCCTTTCTTCACTGTGTCAAGTTAAACAAACAAGATCAAGGCAAAGGAAATGGTAATTGTCTCTCTGGAGATGAGCTGAAGATAAGAGCACTGTTGAATCCAAATACAGAAATTTTTCACAGGTTGTGTCCAGCATTACAAAAAAGAATGTTTAGTTATTTAGCTAACTGTTTAAACACAAATTCTAAATTGAATTCAAGATTTATGCATAGGAACTGAAACCATTTAATGCATCTTTTTGTATCGTTTTTCTGGAGGCTACTTTATTATCTCAGAATTTTAGAAAACTCTTCTTCAAAGAAATAGCTTAGGCTTCATTTCCTTTGTTTTGTAAATAAACAACAGCATTTAGGCTTGAAAAACCTGGGGTTTTCGAAACAATAAGAATCTGATTTAATGGATATGCTGTGTGGTTTGGGTTTTAAGTAATTTTCTTGAATGTAGTAGAGTTAAACACATAGAAAATAATTTAAACCACCTGCAGGTTTTCTTGTAGAGTTTTTAAATAATTTAGTATTTCTTGTCCAATTTTAAATGAAGGAGGCCATTCATGCTTTGAATAAGTAATGCAGCATAATTTCCAAGTTTAAAAACACTGACCATATTTCTTGTGAAATAGATTCGCAACCAAATATTTTTTCTTGTTTTATAATTTTTAGATATACACAGTACTTAAAGGAAAACTTTGCATTTGTTGAGGTTGGCACATAATACCCTGTTAATGGCTGAAAGAGAATTCGCGATCTGACGTTGTGTAACTTCTGATAAACTTTGTGGGTCTTCTGGAGTGACTGACAAAACAATAAACAGAAAATTATTCTACCTTTAGATGTCATCATTCCTGAGAATATATTATTTCTTAGATGTATATTTTTACATTGGTTTGTTTCATAAAATTCTTTTCTTGTCTGAATATTAAGAGCCTACCCATATCCCATTAAAGATCCTTTTTTGAATATGTGTTTTTAGTGATCATGATGGAAAAATCACTGTGGGGCCTGCCTGATTACAGGACTGCATTTCTGGGTTTGGGCTTTAATGACACTTGGGTATGTAGGAGCCCATCTCTAATAAGCAATCGCTTGTGAAACAGTTTAATAAGGTCATGAGATTCTGATCCAGCCCCTTGGCAGATGCCAGGGACTCCTAGGTGGAGATGTCTTTTAGAAATGAATTTCCATAGGCTAAAAACCTTAACTTGAAAATCTTTTAGCAGTTTTCACATGTATTTTTTTTCCTGATTAATGACTTAACTCTTCTTTTTAAACTGAATAAAGAATTTAAGATTAGATCAAGAAAAGCAAATAGTTAATACTATATGTATGTGATAAGGGGGAATCCTCATACTCCTAATCACAAATGCTTACCAGATTAGAGGCCTTTGCCTACTGACTACAGGCAATTTCAGGACTAATTCTGATTTTATCCATTGGATAAAATGAATTAACCAAAATCTGGGTGGTGGAGTACTTTAATTTCTGGGGTAGATCTCGTGGTCTATTTTCAAGGACTTACATGTAAATTTAAAAAGTCTTAAAGGAATTTGGCTCTAAAGAACTTGAAGTTGTCAAGTGCAGTTGCACTGAAAAGATACTTAAATACAGCTCATGTTTGTCTTTGTTGAATCCCTGAGGTTCCTTTTTAGGATTTTTAAGTAGAATTAAAGATTCAGTATTTCAAGTTACTTTTACAAAGTAACCTGAGCATATCAAGAAGCAAAAAGTGCTGCATTAACTTGCTTTTAGGTAGTTGATCTCCTAGGTAGATGTCTTTCTTTCAGCAGTGTGAATGAAACTCCTCTCCCTTCACCTCTTCGTGAACTGTTCAAAAATTGAGCACTTGCTCTGTTTTTGATGGAGCCCTTTCCTCTGCCTGGCACAGTAGTGATGTGAGGTGCTGAGGATCAGGGAGCAATTTGAGCTGACCTGTCTGCTGACTGCTGTGTATGTACACGTTTTATCTTGAAGCTGATGAGTGCGATTCAGAAAGGAAGGGTATCTGGAAGCCGGCTTGCTATCCTCATGAAAACTGCTGAAGAGAACCTGGACCAAAGAGTTCCGATTCCTGTGGATCGTAGCTGTGGAGGATTGTGAGTCTGACCAGTAAATCCACAGTCAACAAACATAGGACAGTCAACACCTTGTAACAACCAGAAACACCTTAAACCACTCTAAAATAGTGGCGATGGTCAATGCCTTTAAAAAAAAAAAACACTGGAAAACATTCCAAAACTTTAAGCTGTTGGTGTCTTTGCCATCTTAATTTGCCAATACTTTATTTGTATTTGCTGTTCAGTCTAGATTCTAAAAAGCGTTTCTTCTCATTTCTAGTGCACCTTGATTTAATGTTTTCTATCCATTTTCTAACCTGTTAGATTTGACACTGTTTCCGCTCATTTATTTTAAATCAGTTCTAGAGGTAGGCTCTTGGCAGAGATTAGAAAAAGAAGCTGGAAAGATTTTGTGATGCACACAGAGCTCTGGACCATAAGCTCGTAGACAGCATTTTCTTCTTTAAAACATGTGTGACCTGTTGAAGTGATAATGTTTCTGGAGTCTTCTCAGCCCTTTCCTCCTCCAGCTTTCCTACCTCCCTCTTCTAAACAGTTTTGCACAACTTTATATCTGGAGTGTGGCTAGTTAAGCTGAAGAGGGAAGAAAAAGTTTAGATCTGGTTTAGATTTGGTTACAGTTCTCAAAGAGAAACTGAAAGTTTCCAAAATCATAGGCATAAGATAAGGCCAGGTTGACATTTGCCAGGAGTTACAATGGTAGCTCCTTCTTAGTGGTTCCTCCCCCCATGCACTTCTGGTTTTCATTATTATCATTACCAGAAAAATCCTTGCTTTTCTTACTTTAAAACCAGCATTTAAGGGGCAAGTTGGATATACTGGATGAGACCAAATCTTTCTAATCTTTATAGGATTAACACTGTGATAACTCAATTTAAAAGCCTCAAACCCTAAGTTTGGCAGCAGGTGGTATTGTCAGACCTGTTCTTGCTAAGGAGTATTTGCAAAGAGATAATAATAAGGGATTGGACAGACTTTAGTTAAATTATAAAATAAAGGCACATCACTTCAAAATCCAAGGTCAGTCTGTTTGCTAAAAGCCTTTTTCTTTTTGCACCCAGTGGAAAAATTTTCGTTTTATCAAAAAAAAATTTTTTTAAAGGAAGAAAGATACCCAACACATACACTCACAAACCAAAACCAAAAATGAGTTTGCATTCAACTCAACAAATAATGCAATGAATTAGAGATGCCAGTTGGAGATGCTTTCACTATATTTTATTTTGTTAGCATCTTACCTGGTAATCTCAGTATTTCTTGATTGTGCTTCCTCCTTTGAAGCCGCCTAAAGATCAGGTTCCATACATGATCAGAAATGTAGCCCTTACTCCTCACTTCTTTCCTGGCAGGTTCCCACTGCAGTTTGTTCTAGTTTCGTAAACTGGTCCATAAAACACTTTTGTGCTCCTGTTTGTATTTATGTGAACATTGTGACTTTATGCCAGAGTCAGGTGGGTTATGAGTCTGTATGTCATAATGGAAACTGGGACGTTCCCTTACCTAAATCAGTACCCACCACCTCCGAAATCTACAGAAACTGCAGGGAGAAACGGTATCTCAACTCATTTTATTTTAAAACGAAGGTTAGCTACTTCCACTTCCTAAAGAAAAACCTGAAACAGCAACTGACGGTTCCAGGTGTTGCTGTAAATTTTTTTTTCAAAGTGTTAATTTTTTTACACTTGCTTTTTAAAATAAATAAATAAATAACATAAATGGAAGCTTGTGGCTTTGCAACTTAGTGTTTTTCTATCATGACAATAAATTACACTGTTTATACCTAGTGACAGTGATTAGGCTAAGAAGCCATCCTTTAATACACCCCAGATTGCATACCACAGTACTGTACATTTGTATTCTCTCTCTTTTTCTCTCTTCTAGTTAGATCAAGATAACGATGGCTTGTATCCTCCCCAGTCTCTTACAGTAGGGTCTGAGATTAGAATGTGACTCGCTCAGGCAGATGTGCTTGTAAAGGTCTTCCTTGTGCACGCTTTGCTATGAATGAAGTTCCTTTAAGGACAAAGAAAAGTTCACTTTTCTTCATTTGAGCATATCTGCTTTTGCTTAAAATCTGCTAATTCTAAAACACACTCCTTCACCAATCCCAGAGACTCATTTTGGAAATGAAATGGGTTTCAAGACATTACCATGAATGAAACACCCCAATGTGTTTTAGCATGTGTCTTCAGGGATTGCCTGGGATACAGGGATTCAGGTGAAGGAACCCCCATCTGTGCTGGAGAGCTGGAAACTTTAGCCCATCCCATTGGTGGTAACAGCAGTGATGCTGGATTGCTTGCTTAACCGAGGTTGTCTGCCTCCTAGCCATTGCGCTGCAGTATTCTTGCTTTTAGTCAGTTTAAACTGAGTGCAGCTTTAGGATTTCTATCTGCTATCAAGTGCATGCTTCCTACTCTGCCTCAGTTTCCGGCTTGATTTTGTCTGTTTCAAAATAATGTAACTTTCTCTATTGTACAACAAAAATTTTCATTCTGATTTTTAAATATCATAGGGGTCATCTTGATATTATTTCCCTCTTTTTTATGCATTTGTAAAGATTTTTTGCATATGAATGTAATCACATACTGAAGTCAATGATTCCGTAACTTGCACTGTTTTTTACTCTAAGGAGTAAAAAAGCCCTACTATGTTTTAAAGAATGTCAAGTATGAGCCCAGTACTAGAGTGGACATAAACACTGCATGTTTTCATATTGTGGCACTTTTATGTCTTGTGTTGGGTTATTGTTTTAGATTTGACTGTTAAATGCTGTGTTTGAGGCTGGGTTGTCATTTTTATAACTGTCTTGGTGTTTTATCACCATTATTTATTACTTTTGATATACAGAATGAGCTGCATGCATTTATAGAGCAATAAGAGGATGTATTTAATGTGCCTTGTTTTTAACTGAGTAAGAGCCGAAAGCATGAATCAATAAACCTGATTAAAATGGTCCATTTGCTGGCATTTTGATGTTACTTGCAGTCAAACAAATAACTTTAATTACTGAAGTTTTAAAAAGTTGGAAAGTATTTTCAGAAACTGTGTTTATTTTAAATGACACAAATAATTCTTTTATCTAGTAATTTTGTAATTTTATCTCAAGAGAGAAATACCTGTAGAGATGGATATAATTTCATAAGACTATGAGAATTATTTGTATTAATTTGTGGCTTCAGCCTTTAGGGTATGATTTCTGTATTGTGCAGGCCTATTCTAAAATTACGTTCATCACATTACAGCTCAATAGAATTCTTTTTCCTTTCCTTTCCTTTCTTTTCTCCTTTTTTATTTTTTTTATTTTTTTGGTCAACCAGAGCCTCTCAGCCTCCACGTTCCCAGGCATGTTGATGAATTTTATCATAACTAAAATCAATAGAAATGAATGGGAAAGATTACATAATCCATTTTGATCATCTTACATGTCAAGTTAGTGCAGGGTTGCCAGGCGTTGATAAATGCTCTGACAGGAAAAAATCCTATATATTTTCATTGTCAGTAAATCAGTAAAGCTGTTATCAGTTTTAACACTGGCCAAATTTTATAATGCCCATGTTATTTTATAGGTTTTAATTTGCACATGTACAGGGAGTGTATTTTCCATTTGTGGCTTAGAAGTGCTGCCTCCTAGCTGTGCATGCTCAAAGGCATTTATGAGCTTTTTGAAAGTCCTTTGAAATTGTATAGACTATCCCAAGTGAAGGCTCCAGACAGACTTGGAACAATGAACCATTTGTTTAGTGTCTCGAAAAAAAAAAAAAACGTAGCAGTTCAAAACATTTTTCATTGATCCAGCTTATCAAATGTAATAGCACTTTAAAATTTGTCAAAATAAAATTTGTCAAAATAAAATTTGTCAAAATATTGCTCCTAGTTTTGAAAATGTGTAAAATTGATGGTCATTGAAAAAAAAAAAAGAAACATGATACTAGCCTTGGTATTTTGCAGCTTTTGTCAATAGCACATTGCCACTAGTGTCACATTTCAACTGATGGCATTTGACTTATGAAAGAGAGAAACAGCAAAAGTTTTAAATTGATCTGGCGCCCTCATAATGAGACAAATTCTGGATAGGAGGCAGAAATGATGAGCCTTTTGTGCCTGTACTTTGTATTTTAGGCCTCTAATTAGCTACCTAACTTGTGAAATGCAGGCACAGAACATGATGTATGTGAGCCTTGATGACGCCACAGACCGTCCCGAAGGTCCTGTGCTAGGAGGTGCAGTGCAGAAATCAATAGATAGCCTACGTTCTCTTACACCTGCTCCAGAATTGACAGGATCTAAGCAAAATACTGTTCCACCAGAATTATCAGAACCATCTCTGTTCTCCACATTTGGCATTGAATACATTGTCATCAGTCTTCACTGTGTAGTTTCTTGAACCTCGTGAGGTTGTATGTAGTATGTGTCCTATAGGGAAGGCAGTGTATTATGTTTCATTGGAACGATAAAAGGAACTACTTGTATAGAATGTGCCTTGGATGTTAGAGCAAGGCATGTGGTATAGCTGGTTCCACAAGCTTCTGAGCCATTCAGGTCCACTGTTAATGTGTTTTAAGCAGTGCTCCCCTGCACTCACCTTCTAGGTAAATGGCTCCTGTAAGGGCCATGTGAGGTTTCCTTCACTGGCTGCTGATAGCTTTCTTGTGTTGTGTCAAGGAATGGGGAAGTGGGAATAAAAAATATCCATATAATTCCATTTTGGCCCTGGTACCTGTAAAAGAATAGTTTTGTTTAAGGGGAATCTTAAACTGAAGAGTGATTTTTCATACTCATCAGGGTCCTTTATTTGCTTTCATCTTTTTCTTCTGTAAAACTGTTTTTGTTTTTTTCACGTTTAGTTTAGACTTACTTGATTTTGCTTGTCAAGTGATCTAAAGGTAATGAGCTCAATCAACTGATCACTTTCCTTTCACCTGATCTTAGTGCCCTCTTGTAAGCAATTGGGGGCTCCTCTCTGTTCCAGCTCCTTCCTCCAAAGTTTTAGAATAAACAGCCACTTGTTCCCTTTTTTGTGCCTTAGGGTTTCTCACTACTGCTTCAATATCAGGGTTTTTTGTTTGTTTTTCATTTCCATCATTAATTGATTTACAATTCATTTTTATGCATATGGAGTTTTCATATCCAAGTTAAGAAGCTGTAAATCTTAGATCCATTGAAATGACAGTGAGAAACATTTCATTTTATCCCATGAATCATTTGCCATCCTTATTGCAGAAAAATGGCAAAATTATGGTATACCATGTTTTCATAAATTACTCTCCCCCACCCCCACCCCACTGCTCTGGTTCATTTCATTATCTGATTGGAGAGACTGTAAGTGTCCAAATGTAGACATTTGAGGTAAACACTTCTCATTTTACAACAGGCTAATCAAAATTTCATAACATTACAAATTAATTCCTCTGGTATCATGAAGAATTTAATTCCTGTGCAAAATATATAATCTGTTTTATAAGTCAAAAATAGCTTAATATTAAAGTATACCGTGTGGTTGCTAGTATGGCAAAGGGGGAAGAGTGTTGAAGTCTTTAAATAATGTATATAATTTTCATTGGTTTCATGTGTCAAAGTAGTCATTTATGTCCTGAAAGGTGGGTGTTTGGCACTATGTGTTTGAACACTACTAAAAAAATCATAGCTTCTCCCAAAAAGGACAAATCAGAGGTTTGCATTTCACATATGACCAAGAATGAAATAACCTAAGCAGGGACAATCCCCTTCTCTATCCCCAGTATGAAGGTCCTTAAAAGTAAAAATCTGAAGTTTCTAAAAAGGAGTACATGAAATTAGCTACTGTATTAATGTGTCACTAAGTGGGCATGTTTGGTTCTTTCTCTTAACCTCTGTGTTACAATCATATCTTCTAAAGAGCCATGGTCAGTTAG